CCACAGGRTGGCTGAGGTTGGAAGGGGCCTCTAGAGATCATCTAGTCCAACGCCCCTGCTCCAGCAGGGACACCCAGAGCACGGGGCACAGGGCGGCATCCAGGTGAGTTTGGAAGATCCCCAGAGAAGGAGACTCCACAGGAACCTCCCTGGGCAGCCTGTTCCAGGGCTTGGGCATCCTCACAGGAAAGAAGTTCTTCCTCACCTGGAGATAGAACTTCCTGTGTTGTAACTTGTACCCACTGCCCCTTGTCCTGTCACTGGCCACCACTGAGAAGAGCTTGGCCCCTTCCTCCCTACATTTTCCCTCAGATACTTCTACACATTCATCAGATCTCCTCTCAACCTTCTCTTCTCCAGGCTAAACAGGCCCAACTCACTCAGTCTCTCCTCATACAACAGATACTCCACTCTCTTCATCATCTTGGTTGCTCTTCTCTGGACCYTCTCGAGAAGCTCCACGTCCCTCTTGTCCTGGGGAGCCCAGAACTGCCCCCAATACTCCAGGTGCAGCCTCAGCAGAGCTGAGGAGAGGGGCTGGATCCCCTCCCTTGACCTGCTGGCAACACTAACGAACGTTGTCACTGCAACGAGGCAGCTTCAACAGCCGCCTCGCAACRCGACTGACCCCGCAAAGCTCTGTGCGCTACAGAATTATTTAATGAARAATGATTTAATTAGTCTGCTCATATCAAACACACCTATGTATACGTAAAACACTTCTATATGAATGAAAACCAAAAAGCCCACAGCAGTGGGTTTTATTTTTGCTTTTCATTTCACCTTTATCAGATGCCTTATTAACAGTCGCACTTTGAAGATCAATTTTAAGCTTCAGCATAAATCAAAGCTGCTATATAATCCTTGCATAAGTTTTAATTTACATCTGTGAAAAGGTATGTAGGCAGGAACGCCTGTTTTACAGAAGTGGCTGGCAGAGTATTAAGCAGATACAAAGAAGTGCATCTGCCTTAGCGTTGACATCCCAGTAACAGTTGAACAGTTACTCCTCAGCCGCTCTCTTGAGCTTCCTGAAATCCAGTACTTGTCTACAAARGCCATCCAAAGCAGAGCATCTGAGCAAAGGCAGAAAAATACTAGCATACACAAAGCATTTAGAGTTTACGTGTCTTCTTTAACAGACTGTCTGAAAACCCATGCACGATACACCTGTAAGCAACATTTGGACCACACATTGCTCTTGCTTTTTCAATTGAACCAGCTTTTAATGTGCCAATAGCAAGCAGCTCTTAAATGAAACTCAATATAAATTTGTCTTTCCTGCCAGAAAATCAGTCAGAATTGATGTAAATAAAAACATTCAAGTTCTCAAATACTGAAAGCCTTAAGTCATGTGACTAAAAAAAAAAAAAAGTCCACAAGCAAAAACCTTTCCAAAAGCAAAATTCTGTTCAAGTTCCTAGATGCATTTATGCTTTATTTTATCCAAATTAACCCATTAAACCAAAGCCTAGGTTTTAACCATATTTCTAGCCTTTACAAATCACTAAATTACTTAAGAAAATACTGTAAGAAAGGGGCTGAAGTAACATATGGGGAATTAAGACCAGATTCCTCTATAGGCTAAYGAGTTCTGCCACACTGCACATCAAGCAATGTCTGAAGAAAACAGCCTGCTGGACAGACACATACAGGGTTGTAGGAGAACTCCCAAGTCTAAGGGTTTTTGAAGTAATTTCATATTTCAAAAACCCCTGTTAACACTGAACAGCACATGCTGCTACATAACTTGCACTGTTAGAGCACCTRTTAAGTAGATTCTGAGCAGAGCGGAAAAATCAGGACTTAATTTCTGTAAACATCAGTATCTTTCAGGCATTGCAAAGAAATTGTGATCTTCAGCAGTGCAATCTGAGCAAAAACAGATTTCCCTGACCACATCATCCTTTTTTTACACTGTTAGAGCCACAGAAGTAAAACCTTCCACATTAGACTCTTCAAGGCTATTTTCCATATACCTCTCTGTGTCAGGCTCACATCAAAAACTGATTAATATCCAGGGAAAAAGGGGAGACTGAATTCTAGGTGAACACATATCCGAGTGGATAGAAAGCTAAGGGTATATATAAAGTCCTCTTTAGAACTGGTCAGGGAATTTATCTCTGTGTGCTGCAATAAGAATACTCTGCCTGCTTCACACGGGGAACCTTCCCRAGCTCATGAGCTACGAAGGCAGGAAAACAGGGCCAAGCCTGGGTTACCTGACGTTACAGGTACGTTACTCTGACCACAGGCAGAGTCCTGTTCCTCCCTGTGCTTGAGCTCCAGATGGGAATGCCAGTGTAAAAAAACAGCACTACTGCTGCAGAACTAGCAGGAAGGAAGCTACACAGAAGAAAAAATGCATCAAATGGGAAAAGAGCGGCTGGGCACACGGGGCATGAGCCGGGGCTGGAGCTCACGCAAGTCCTTGGGCACTGCGTGTGTGCCCAGGTACCGCTCCCTCCTTGCCCGCGTGCCGACGTGCACGTTCACGCAGACACCCGCCCCTCTGACAGCTGATGCYGATGTGCACGGATCAGAGGTGGCTGGGGAGCTTCTGCTGAGTGACCCATCGCCTTCATCGGCACCATCACTGGCTCTTRTAACAACACAGCAACTCTCAACCGAGCTACGAGCTACTGCAAATCAAACACAGCACCCAGCTTTGCACCACTTCAATCGCCCTGCAGGGCACCCACACCAAAACAGGCATCGGTTTCAACATCTTCGTATCCACCTTTCGGGAACAACGCTGGACTCCTGCAATAACCACCTGCAGCAATGACTCAAACTGCCCCAGCCCTGTCTGCCTTTGCCATGGGCAAGGGTTGTGCAATGCTGCCCATCTCCTACTCCTGGGGTTTATCTTTAACATTTGGATGTGGATTTAAGAGGAGGATGTACCCAGGCAGAAGAACTTAAARGTTGTAAATTAACTTTGCTGAGCTGGGTTCCGGTGTTAGCTGAGCACCCCCAGAACACTCTGAAGCCAACCCAGGTGCTTGGTTAGACAGCAAAAATCTGCTGCAAAGTAACAGGCTGGACTTGGTGCAAAATCATTCCAAATTAGATAACTCTTCAAAGAGAAAATTAAGAGCCCATTAAAACCCCCACATCAGAGAAGGAAAAACCCCAGGTTTGTTTGGGTTTGCTTTACTTTCTGAAGAGGACTGTTYACACTAACAACAAAATACATTTTTTTAAAATGAGTCTTGCCCTAGTAAGTCATGAGGAGTTTTGCCACCGACTTCAAGACATAAAATCCCAGCCCAGGGATTTTGTATTTGTTGAAGGCCCCATGAACAAAATCTCAAGGATGCCCCAAGACAAGGGACCACCTCCAAGCCAACACTGAAGGGGCAGGAAGGGAAGCTGGGCTGGGAGGCACATCAGGGCCACCAGGAACTCGGCATTTAGATGCTCTGCCCAGAACATCAGCTTCTAAAAATAAGAACAAAATTGCCCTCTATCCTCTCGTCACGGGAGGCAGGAACACAGAACAGAGCAGCTACACACATTTGGCCAGCCTCGATTTACAGAGCTCCTTTTGTAAAGGATGGGCTCTAAGAGATAAGAGACGAGACACGACGCTTGCTGGACCCCTTCCAAACAAGCAGCAGAAAGAGCAAAATACCCTTCAAAAACCCAAAAGGGCCATTTCTTCCTCAGAAAGGAGGGGAACTGCCATCATTCTAGTGGCTGAATGCAAGTCCTGTAGCCCTGCCAGCACAAGGCCACTAGCCTTTGATTGCAATTTGGTTTGGTTTTCCCTTTGCAGGAGGGAGAGGAAGAAGGAGGAAGCACTGGCTGGGAAGACATGTCAGAAACCCATCCAGACTCTTGGCTTGGATCTCAGCCCAGGTTTATTCCACTTTCTGCAGTGTTTATTATTTTACTTGAGTAGATGCTGCATAATTTACAGAGGGTACATATATAATGAAGGGAGTTCTTATTAGAATGTAAATATTAGCTTTAGAGAGGGAAAAACAATCCAACATTGTTCCTGGTGCTCATGCTATGGTTTAAGACTCGCTCCAGCAGCTGCTAGGACCCCTCTTAGCCAGCAACAGCGGGGGACAGAGGCCTGGCTCAGCTCRCACACCACTAACCTCGATGCACACTCTGCACAAGAGTTATTGATTRTTAGCCAGGCTGCGTTTTACCCTTCGAGCCAAATGCCAGCCCTGTGCTAGGACCAAACAGAAGACACAGAGCTTGGTCACATGCATTGCAAAATACACGGCTCGGCACGGACGCGTTCCCGGAGGAAACGCTCGGAGGACGTAGGGAAACGCCTGGAGGAGCACAGGGAAGGTCCTGCTGCTGGGAGGCCACCCGCATGCGACGGCCTGGCCTGGCTGTGGCGGCCTCGGCTCTCCCTGCAGCTCAGAGGGGTGGAAGGGCGGCCGGCTGCACCCGGCGGCCTCCTGCCCAACACGAGCTRATGCTCTTAACCCAGGGCAGGAAAATTCATTTTTACCCAAAACATCAGCCTCAAAAAGAAGGGTAAGGGCAAGCAAAGGCCTTCCTCCAAAATCAAATCGCAGGCCACTGCAGTTATCATCCACAGAGCCCTAAGGCTGGTATCACTTCTAGCACCAGCAGCCCTAAGCTAATTTATGCCAGCTGAGCAGCAAGTCTTACAGCTTTTACATTTACTTAAGGTACAAAAGTGTCAGTGAATACAGATCTCAGTAAATCCCGCTTTCTAAAATATTATTCATCAACATATAATTCAGATGGTAATTAAGAACTGCTCACATGATTGATGACACATTTAAATTACAGGTCTGCAGCATTTTTTCTTTTTTTTCGTAAAGAAAAGATGATTTCCTTTTTCACGTGCTGTTTTTTCAACGTGCAAGTCCATCTAACAGATGTCTCACAGATCTGCTTGTCAATGTAACAACTTTGGCTTTTCTATTTCTTTCTCATTACGACAAATGGCATGAGCCACCCAGCATTCTGTTAAACTCAATATTGACACATCTGCTTACCACGTGTGTTAGTAGCCATGTCAGCCACTTTCTGAAAGGCATCCAAGAAGGCAGCAGCTGCTACTACTGTAGTCCTGAAATGCATACAGATAACAAAACATTAGCAGTGTCAAATTGCTGCCTATTTCACTATTGCCAAAAACATTTAAGCTTAGAAAGAATACCAGTGTGAACTTCAGGGGGCACCAAAAATGGCCTCTTTTATGGCTGATTTTCACCTTCTCCCTCCCTCATGTCTTAATCTCTCCCCTGCTTTGTGTTGGGGCTGGCGACTTGAGGGCTGCCCTGCTAATTCGCTGCTGAATTGCCCGGGACAGGTGCTGTTTCAAAAGAGCAGAGCCCTTCCCCTTCTGGCCCCTTCCCTCTCGTGAACTAGTATTAAGCAGTCAAATATGGGGGAAAAAACCCTCACACACATTATCCTGCATCCATTAGAGGATAAATTACAGCCACTGCTATTTCCGAGGAACACTTACTTCCAGGGCCAGCATGCAACCCCCTCCCTTTACTGAGATTCCCCTCCAAATGTTTTCCTGACTTTCTCATTTGAGGAATATCAGTGTGCCTTGCAATAGGGAAAAATGGGGAATAGTGGGGACAAAGCTTCCCTCCTTCCACAGCAGCTTCCCGATTCCTCCCAGCAGGTTCCCCAGGAACTCTCCTGTCCAAACTGCGAACCTCCCTCTCCCTCGGGATGTGAAAAAACTTGGGAGATCACACATCCATTGAAGCAGAGAGCCAACGTGAGCTGCAGTTTTCCAACACAGCTGCTCTAACTAGGCCTAGAGCCCCCGAGCACCTCAGCTTGGGACCAGACTTGTGATGGTTTGCAGCCAGACTGACCTGATTTAAATGAACCCAAGCCAGGGCTCTGCACATGAAGCACCCTGTGCCCTCTCCTCGGTTCGCTTGTTGTCTCCTTCCACACATGTTTTATAACAGTAATTTTGTTTTTCTCCTCTCACTGTAACAGCCTTTCCAAGCAAAATCCTGAAGGAGAAGGACCTTTGCCTTTTGCTTCAGCAGTTCCTTGGCACCTCAGAGAGCCCAGGAGATCTGCAGCAAGGCCAATCCTTGGCCAGAAAGCACCACAGAGCTGCATCACTAGGTCCAATTTTATCAGAATCTCACTCCAAACGTGCTAAAATACAGGGGACATAACTGGCAGCATAATAAACAGCCTGGTGACCACAAGATTTGACTGCAAAAGCAGGCCAGAGGGGATGTGCTTGAGAGGATGCATAAAGACTCCCTAATTTCCCAGGCAAAAAACCAAAAAAAAAAAAAAAAAAAAAAAACTGACAGTTCTCCAGATAACTACTAATATTTAGCCCCAGAGCCAGCTATCTTTTTCCTGGATTTTCCTTAACAGCATTTGTGTACTTAATCTCCCCAAACTGTGGGTCATGCTGTTGTTCATGTACTCTGTTGTTAATAATTAATTATACTGCTAATAACAAAGTTCCATTTCTCCAGTAACAAGATCCAGGAAGAGCAGGTCGCAGCTCAGGTGGCATCTGCTCTCTTTTGTCAGGACGCACAGGGAGCAGCCAGCAGGAAAGAGCTCACATTTGCTGCAAGGAAGGAGCAAACCCTCGAGCCCAGGATTTGCTGCCTGCTCGCACATTCTTGTAGCTAGAAAAAGCACTACACTGAATGCAACACCGCAGGATGGGAAAATAAAGCTATTTTAGTCCTTTAGAGGACTAAGGAAGTCYTACTTTTCCCTCTGCACGCTCACTCAATGGGATGGGATTGTTGGAAGGGCACAAACCACCTGCAAGTGTATTAAACATAGCACAGAAGAACAGCACCTTCCAGCTGTTCAGGGCAAACGAGCCCAAACTTTAGCTTCAGAAATAGCTCACAGTGATGCAGAACCACAAAACATGCTGCCAATAACTACCTACAMGCACCACTGCTGCTGTGAAAATGCTGATGCTCAAGGGAGCCTGGTGGAGATTGCGGTTTGGGGAGAGCAAAGAAACAGACCTTGGATTCGTGTCAGGAGAAATGCACTTTACAAGCGAATTCTGGAGGTAACAGAATTGGTCACAATGTGATACATGTGGTGCTTATTAACTGAAATCTCTGCAAAGTTATATAAAGTGCCATTTGCAAAGTAAACCCCAATAAAGTGAGCTTTAATGAACACAAGTGAATGATTCAGCATGGGAATTCCCTAATTTTTAAGGCAAAAGAAAACGTTGCTAAGACTACTGGAGACTCTATTGAATGTTTTGCAGCCTCTTTTAATAGAAACCAGCTGTACTCAAYGCTGATAAAAAGGACAACATATGTCTTCTAACTCCAAATCTCTGTGTTCTCCGAACAATAAACCATCTTTTTCCACCAGGATCTAGGCCAGTTACGTTCAGTAAATGTTTTCTATTATGGTGATAGATGCTGTATTTTTCTAAAGTACATCAAAAACAGCAGCAGTACCACATGGAAATTATAAATATGGGTGTTGCATATATGCAATACAAAAAAATTTACTAGGACACACTAAGTAAATTACCCTGGTAGAAGCTGCATCTAGTTTTCTTAACACTGTTGGCACACACAAGCATTTGGAGAGGATCTTGACTGTGCAACACAACTTACCGAAGCTGAGACTGCARCTTCCCAGCTTTATTTATAAAATCTTCCCACACTGGGTAGCTTCCCTGCAAGAAAAAATAAAGAATAATGAGTACTTACATTGAGCATTCCATTTTGATACCCTAGATTCAAAGTTTACACGAAATGAGCAGCACAAGTAAAACTTGGTTTATTAAAGCCTCATCCATTAACACCAAAATATACTTTCTGAACAATTTAGCTGTCATGTCTTTAAATATCAGCTGCAAACAGATGATGTGTAACTAGTTCTGATTCCACTAAAAGGGCAAGTATTCTGAGGAGCCTTTACAGTCTTCCCAAGTAGACATACTGGAGGAAAACACAAGATTTCAACTGAAGCAGCAACAAGAACCTCCTCAAGAGTCTGCAACGACCTTGGAGGGACTGCAGAACTGAGGCTGCTAAAGCAGCATGGCATTTGCAGCATGCAAAGTTTTCCTCTTGTCTTCTCATTTCCTGTGATTTTTTTCCCCTAGAATATAAATACTAAGACTATAGAATACAGACAGTTAAGTTCTCTTCTGATCTTTAGTTACTAAAATTAAAAAAAAGAGGTGATTTTTTTAAATCCTTTTATAGACCAGAGTAAGGTTAACTTGTAGCGTTAAGTGCAAATTTTCTGTTGACGCTGAAAATGCTGGCAGAAAAAACTTGGAAATTTCTTTTTAATAGGAGTCTAAAGGAAAAAAAGACAGAAAAACCGAGGCTTCCTTTAACACAGGTATAAGACTTGCTGTTTCCAGAGCAACGACACAATAAAACGCAGATAAGCAGCTCCTCAAGGCTGACAYTACCAGCGCTCTGCCTGCCTGGAAGAGGCTGTGAGCGACTGCACTCGCWTGCAGCAAACTGCATCCACCCCGATTAACCAGCGCTGCTCCTGCTTTCAAGTAAAATGAAATCATTGCTGTCRCTCCCAATATGAGAAGCCACATCTTGTTTTGTGGGGAACTATTAATTTGAGTGCCCGGCACCTCGCTGCCCTGTTCCAAAAGGGTGGACCTAGGTGCAAAGCGACTGCCCCATTGCAGGGCACTCACCGGCACTCTTAAAAATAATATATATATTGAATAGTCATTTAAARGAATGCAAATCAGGTTGCCCTAAAACCTCATAATACCTGCACACTTGGGAGAGGGGAAGGAAGGATATTATTTGTCGGGGGGAGGTTAAGAGCCAGAATATGAAGTGCTTTGTGCTGAGCAAGGGCTGGCAGCCATTTAGAAAAACAGAAGAAATGGCACAGAAAACAGCAGGGCCGAAGGCTTTACCGGCTCCTCCAGCAAAACGCAAGGAGGCAAATGCAGGAGAGCACAGTAGCCCCATGTTGTTCCCACGTCAGCGCTGCGTTATCCTGCTGAGCGCACCGGGCGGCACGCCGGACACTGACACCAGCCTCGCTCCACAAGGAACTT